ACTGTCACACAAACGAACCCTGAGCAGGAAACAGCCTGCCGCGCTCTCAGCCCGCTGGCAGCAGCACAACACCCTCCGTCCCCCCCAGCTTCAGCGCGGGCAGAGCGAGGCAGCGCAACCTCACAGCCCCGGAGCATCAGCGCGGGCTAACCCCAGGTTAGAGCATTTGGTGCCGAAACCTGAATCTGTGAAGAATTGAGGAGGGGCTGCCCTTTACATGTCTGATGTTGAAACAAACTGCAACTCCGAGGTTTCTACCTCTAGCAGCCGAGCCTCTGCCGTGATTTCACACTGAGTGTTCCTGCGAGCGGCAGTTCTGGCTCTGAACGTACGCTGCTGCTTAGGCAGGCTGCTCTCCGCACCCCACGACACGCTCTGCCGACGAGCAGGCAGGTTGAAGTACAAGCTATGTAAAAAAACCCAAATAAATGAGAGGAACGATTTTTGCAACTGAGGGTTACAAAGTATCAAGTGCTACTTTCATAGGGGACACAACCTGAAATTTCCGTTCCACGAGCCTCCTTCAAACAATCTGATCAAAATACCTTTTGCTTGCATGACTTTAGGGTTGCAGTTGAACTGTTCTTCCATAATTAAAAGATCGCTTAATATTCCACAATGCCCTCCAGATTCATGGTGACACTGTCAAAACGAGAAAACCTGATCTCATTATCCTAGCAGTAATTAAAGAGATTGGCAAAGCCAACTTCAGTTAATTTGCATGGTTTGTTTTGGCTCTGAAAGCCCGACAAGACAACACTCGGTGAGATCTCGCTTGGGTCTATCTTAGGATGGAGAGCACTGTATAAAGTGAGCAGCATCCTTACCTTAAATACTCGGTTTCTGTTTTCCCATTTCAAACGTTAATAAGGCTATTACAGAAACAGGACTCTTGAGAGCTGTTAAAAACATGTACGATCACACTTCTTTCCCCCACCCCACTTTTCTTTTTGTAAACAGACTGCTGCTCATTCAGGGCCAGTTAAAACAAAAGGTTAGGAATAATACACTGCAAAGGAGTTGGTTGCATCCAAGTATTTACACCTTCCTGACCTCAGCAGCCAGCCAAAATTTAGAGCCCTGTTGGCTACTTCTGTGTAAAGGCAAGCTTACAGTGGAGACAGCCACTTATTTCATGTCACAGTATTAATGTAGAGAGGATACTCTAAGTCCTGGTTCCCTGAAAACAAGAAGAATAAATAAAACCATTCTTTTCTCACTGCTCTAAATACCACACACGGAGAGGTTACAGCCAGAAAACGGGGAAGGCATATGTGCACTCATCCAGATCTTAGTAGCTGGTCTGAGGCATGAAACTGTTGTAACTGATGACCCATCTGTTCTCAAATAGTGTCTCAGAGATTAAGAAAATTAGGTTTTAGTACACTGGAAGGAAAAGAAGCCCTCTTCATCTGTACCTCTCTGGAAACATTGAGACCAGCTTTGGTTGGAGCAAAGAGCCCAATTTAATTTACAAAAGGCTTTTGTGAGAATAGTCCCCAGTGAGGAGCAGGTGCAGTGGAGGAATGCAATGCTATAACCCACTGTTCACCTTGTGCAGCACATGCTGACTTCTTGCCTCAAAACTGATGACTGAAGGAGGTGGCTTCTGAAAGAAATGCTTGTAGCCTGCTTGAGATACACCTCTCCTCTACAGCACACGGAAATCCAAGCCGGTCCATCTGTGCATTTGCTGTGTACTGAAACAAGGCACAAAGATCCCAGTCTAAGTCTGGCCACAACAGTCACGTTGGCCTACTGCTATGCCTAATCCAACAGGTCTAATGGCCATGGGCATGTATAGCTGCGGTAGCGTTTGAAGGACATGTCCATGGTCTGTCATTCTCTGACATGCTCCTGATGCAAGCTCCTGCACAGTCCCACCGAGTCCCTGCTGCTCCTGCAAACGTCATTTTGAGCCCAGCTCTTCAGAACACACATTCCTGTTTGGTTATTTTTACAGCCAGTGAGAGAAGAGAAACAGCAATTTTCAAAGCCTTGTAACACATACAGACCTGAGCAAAATTTCATAGAGAGACATCTAATTCCCAAGGCTGTATCTGAGGCTGCATTTCAAATGCCTGCTGCCAACAGTAGCTGAGTAAGAGTACTTAGGAGAGCATGAGTGATTACTTTAGAGTGGAAATGTTAAAGCAGCCTAAATATAGAGGTTGCTACCATCTCTGTGCACTCATTACCATAGCATCACAGTCTTAATTGTCTTCCCTGTCTCACAGCAGAAGATCAAATATAGCGCACTGCAAGAAGAGAAAAGTAATGCTGAAAAACACTTGTCGCTAAACACCCTTCTGGACTGAGGACCAATTCCAAACTCAATTCCATCAACTGCAGACAGCTGAACTGGAGACATACCACAATTTGAGCAAACAGCACTGATGGCCTTTGCTTCATCTGTGTTTTCGTGGACCGTGAATATTAAACTCCATTTCTGGTAGAGAAGCCTCCTACAGCAGTTTTCAGTCAGGGTGAGTTACTTCATGACTATACTGAAAGGCTGCACATGAAAAGATGCAGCCCACAAAAAGAAAGGCTTTGCTTGAGTCCCGCCACAAGTGAGCAGTGATAGGTTGCAAGGAGGTTTTCCTCGCATTCTGAGTCTTCTTAGCAACGAACAGTTTTTCTGCATTGCTAGAGAAGGAAACTGAGTCAGGAAAAAAACCCAACCCAAAAAACCTCTACTAAAAGGTGGTTAAAGACTTCTGGAGAATATCTTCATCTCTTCTTCAGAAACAATCTTCATACCCAACTACCAGCAACCAGTTACAAGGAAGTTCACTGGAAAGCACAGGTTGGCATGACCTATATGCTCTGCCTTGTAAAAACACTAACTGTATTCAACCACAAATTTCAGACAGATTAAGCATAAGACATCCCTGATATGTATCCACGAAGCCAAGATACTTGGCATCATCTCTCATGAGTTCCCTCTCATCAAGAGGGAAAAAGCCTCTAAAAATCTGTGAGAGTGAGAAACTCTCCTACTCTCCCAGTGCTGGCGTAAGACTTTGGGGTGTGTGTATAGGTATGTCCGTTACAGAAACACCCAGCTTGGCAGCTTTCAGAAGACAAGATTGATTTTATGGAGATTTTGATTGTTAGGGCTAAAATTTAATTTCTTGAGCTTTCCTAACCTTCCTCTAACCAAAGGGAAAAAATCCACTTAAAAAGCATTTCAGGAAGACAAAATCCTACGTGCTGGATCTGCAACACACACACAGCTCCGCGATGTTATGGATTCCCCATAACCCAAAGCTGCGCTGCCTTAGATATTGACCACACGTCATCGTAGCCAGAGGCAATGCCGTTGGAGCTTATCACCATCCTGTTCAGTAGCTGTAGCAGGAACAGAATAGTTATCAAATGAAAAGATAGTCAATCAGAGACTGTGAACCCCAGAGGAAGTTCCTTGGAGTACGTCCAGTCTTCTTAATGCTATTGGTAGTTCCTCACAACTGGTATGCAGCTTATAATAATTAATAACACCAGGTTAATATGCATAATAATAACGCAAAATTAGTATGCATAATAATAACATTTTTAGAAATAATACAGGTTAGTACGCATTTCTCCTTTGTTCCACAGTCAGTACAGTTCAACACGACTCTAGCAACATCTGGGACTGGAAAATGTCTTTCTCTGAAGAGGGAAGTCCCACAGCAACGCTTCATGGTTTTACCAGAGCAGGAGCTTACCTACAGAGTTGCAACCTTAACTCTGCACGGCATCAGAACATGAGCAATGTATGACTAGCTCTTAAAAAACGAAACAGAGAATGGCATATCATTCTGATCACAAACGCCGAGCTCTGCAAAAATCAGAACTTTTCATTTAGGTGCTTAAATAGAAGTGGAGTTCTGCTGAAAACATGACCACTGCTCTCCGTGTGCCTCAGCTGTGGCAGAAGGATGATGCCTTATTTTTTTTAACTGCATGTTAGAAGGAAAAAGCAGTACTTGCAGTATCATCTAATCACACCTCAGGAATGACGTTTCCCTTCCAAAGAATTACAGAACTACTTTTCGCTCCAAATGGATCTTGCAGGTAAGGAACACAATTACATCCAGTGGTTCAAAAAGATGTGTAGAAAATTGGAAGTGGGATCCCTTGACCTGCCAGGTAACACCTCCTTTCTATTCTTAAACCTCTTCCATTTTAACAGGTTGTCTCCCAGTCACCATACGATGATACAGTAAAAATGCCCCCTGCAATCCTAGCTGCACTCCTGTTAAAATATGTACTGCCACACACTGGTTTATTGATTCAAGGAAATAAATCTCTGCTGGAGCTAATATTGACTTTTGTTATGAAAATGGAAGTGAATAACTAACTGAATATTGATTTGAGAGAGGAATGATATATGATAAGTTAAAAAAAAAAGATTAAAATAAAATTGCCGCATGGAAAAGAATGCTTCCAAGCAACATTTTTTTAGTCAATTCCAGACAACAATTACCTGATTATTAGGAAAAAAGAGTCTGTTGTTGCCAAATGTCTTAACAGCACTTATGAATAAGACAGATGCACATTCTTCTCTATAGGTTTCTGTTTATGAGACCTGTTGGGGATCCTAAGGCAGTTAGGAGCTGGCCTGCTAACCCCTGTTGCAATTCAGGTACTGTTCCTGATGTGAAAGGCCCTCAGACCGGTTATGGGCTGCCCTGGTGTGCCACAGCAGCATTACCATAGCTGCAATTATCAGCTCTCCTCACAGCAGGCCCACGTGCAAAGGGAAGGTCCTTTAGCAGGCACCACATACGGTGCTAACATCACCATACTTAATAAGCCTAATTAAAAAGAAATTCAACACATACGTTTTGAGCAAATGGGGATCAAATTCTTGGCCAAACGAAAATATTAACTCGTTTGGATAACTGTGTACAGTGATTTGGTTGGTATAATGATGCCAAACCGTGGTTCAAACCACAGGATGCAGTACACGCTGTGGACTCACCAGTTTCACCGCTGTGAACAGCCCCCTCAACTCCCCCCCAAGCTGCAGCCTTTACAGCAACCTCTGCACGGCTGTTCCTGTACAAACTCCCTAGAATCCAGCGGCAGTGCCCTGACGGGAGGTCGGTGCGTTTGTACAGGAACAGTCTCCAGTGAAAACAGAGAAGGTTGGTCCAACGACAGCCCCTCTGGGCAAGTTGCAGAGATCAGTTACTGAGAGGCCCTGAGGAGTCAAGAGCTTTACTTCAGCAAATCCAAGCTGGAGCACCACAGATCAGTTCCTTCAAGCTGAACTTTAGGATCAGCCAAAAGGCAGAATGCAGATTTTTGAAAGATTTAGCTGGTGCCCTTTCAAGAGTCTCTGGAGAAGTTAGTGAGGACGCCTTCCTGCTCTTCAATCTGTTCAGCAAAGTGACAATCCTCACATTTGCATTTTCTGAGGTACGCTGGTCACTGCCAAAACTCTGCTGCCGAGCACAGGCCAAAGGCTTTCCCCTGGCAGCTGCATGCAAAGATCACAGCGCCCCAAGGCAAGAATGCTCCAGATGGCTCTTTTTTTCCTTTGTAAATAACTGAAAGCACTATGCTAACTGCTTCACCGACTAGCCTCTCCGCTGGCCTGGTCCTGCTGGCACTGAATTTCTCCAGATAGACGGAAAGACGCGGAGGCTCTGAATTCTGGGTCACACCCAGAGCCGTGTTTTGCAACAGCCACACGACTGCCCTCGGCAAGCGAGCAGGCTCGGGATTTCTGTGAAAACCACCAGCAGTGACGTGGCCAACGACAACTGGTATTTGGGGCCAGCGTTCCGAGCACTGCGTTTTTAAACTCCGGCTCCAGCAGTGCACATGATGACAAAGTACAGAGCTTAACACAGCGCCCCGGGAGAGGGGGACTCCTGCGCCAAACCACCCCCACACAGGGACTCTGCACAGCCAAAGGCATGCGTTTAACAGCTTCAAGCTCTGCTCATCTTCAAACTTCCAATGTAAAGACCCAAAGGCTCCCAAAGGATACCTTTTAAGATACCATTTATAACCAACTCAAGGCTGGAATATTTTTGATTGTTCTTTGGCTTCTGCAGTATTAAATGTTTAATTAAAAGACCACCCATATTGAAAAGAAGTACAGTTTAAATGCTACCATACTCTGTTAAAGTGAAAAAAAATTTCTCCGGGGAAAAAAAAGCACTACTACAAGCTAAAAATGAAAATAAGTAATATTTTCCTGTTTTCAAAAGAAGAAATACTTCTTCCCTCTTAAGCAGTAATTTTGCAATAGTTCGAAACCTGACAGAACTAGGAATCAGCCGAAGTTCGAAGGCTTCATCCAGTTTGAGACATGGGAATATGCTTGGGGGAACAGCCATGTGCCCTTCCTGAGTCTTAAACAGGTTTGTTTTCTTTTCCACAAGGGCACAACCTGGCAGCAAGAAGCACCTTGGCAGGTTATGGCTGTACACAATTAACTGGGGCTCCCCAGATAATCAATCCCTGGCACTTTCATAAGTCGCTGGGGTGGAATAAGATCGTTTTCCCTAACTGCACACCTCTTCGAAACTGTACCAGCCTCCATATTCCCTACCGGCTCTCCTGTTCCAACTCATTACATTTTATACCTCCCCACTCCAGACTTAAACTGAATCCGAGAGCTGCAGCTGTCAATCACTGCTCTGCTCTTGGAGCCCTTTCACAACCCACAGCCTGGACCGAGAGCTTCCCAAGCCTGCATTTACCAGCACCACCATGTCCAGCAAACCGCGCCACGATGCAGAGGGCTCGTTAATACATCCTGGGGCTCTAATAAGCACGTTGCACATTGTTTGGTACTTCTGCTTCATCTCCTCTGACTGAAATTTTAATGAGGTTCGGAAAGAGAGGCTTCACTGGGAACTACCAGGGAAGTGGGAAACCAAGGATACTTTTTCAGAGATCTTGGAAACAAGCAAGTAACCAAAAGGCATCTGAGCACACGAATTTACATCAGTAAGAGAACTGAAAGCTGCACGTCTCTTAATCTTCTGTGTGCCAGAGGGCATAAGTGATGGACTTCTAATTTTATGCAGACAGTGATACAAGAGCAATTTGTTTCTTGTCAATCTGATGCGTCTTCTGTGAGTTACAGAAAAGACGAGAGGAAAAGAAAAAAACCCATGACAGAAATTCTTCTGTTGTGGTAACAGGCAGATTAATAAGGGGTAGGACTGTTACAAAACTGCCTCTTCATTTAGAGCAGAATATAGAATAGGCTATTTCAGTTGGAAGGGACCTACAACGACCACCTAGTCCAACTGACTGCAGGGCTGACCGAAAGTTAAAGCACGTTAAGGGCATTGTCCAAAAGCCTCTAACTCGGACAGGCTCGGGGAATCAACCATCTCTCTAGGAAGCCTGTGCCAGTGTTTGACCACCCTCTCGGTACAGAAATGCTTCCTGATGTCCAGTCTAAACCTCCCCTGCTGCAGCTCTGAACCATTCCCACCCATCCCGTGGCTGGATCCCAGGGAGGAGAGATCAGCACCTCCCTCTCCACTTCCCCTCCTCAGGAAGCTGCAGAGAGCAATTTCGCTATTAAATTGCCAAATCTAAACACAGAGCGATTGTGAAGTTGGAACAAATTCAGAGACTAGGACGAAATACAGTTCACTCAGAGATAATAAGCTGGTTTCTAGCTAGTTATCTGGTTAAATCCAGTGGCTCAGGTGTTTTTACTTCCTAATCCCAGATACGCAGGCGCGTGGTTAAAATGGTTCAGCTGATGCAAGGAAATTAACTGGTGTGCTTCAGCTATCAGATGCATTTTCAAGGCAGAAGCACAAGGGTCCTAGAAGGGCCCGACATCCTGGACTCCAGTCAGCCAAGTTGCAGAAATACATTTTATTTCTGCCACGCAAGCAAAGATCAGTGATGAGTGTTGCGGTCTTTGCGACTGCCACACGACTCGCCGCTTCTCCACGTGCATCACAGTGGCTGACAAAAGTTGAAGGGGAGGAGAGATGGTGTAAATTATCTTTTACTAATCTTTCAATGTGAAAAAATGTGTTCCACTTCACAGAAAAGAACCCTCAGGCAGAGAATTAACCAGAAAAGACAACAAATTAAGGAAAAGAGAACAGGTTAAAAGTATAACTCAGTTTGTCCAGAAAAGATACAACCCTTACAATGCAGATACATTTCTATTAGTGTAACAGCAATTTTACCTACCAGCCTACCACCTTATCAATAAGCAAAGCCTACAAAGCACGAACAGTGGAAAACATTCTTAAGTTATCTCAGAAATAATTAAGAGCAAGTTACCTTTCGATCTTCTTTAAAGACTTCGGCAGCAGTTGTAAAATGCGGAATGGCATTTTTACAGTGGGGACACCCTGTTTGACACAGGAAGAAAAAAACAGCATAAACATTAGTTGTAAAGAAGATACTGGGACAAACTCAAAATACAAGCGGTGAAGTGGTGGAAAATTTGTATTAAAAACAATCCTTGACAAGAATTATCCAATTCTGGGAAGAGCAGGACAAGGCATCTGTAGACTAGGTGTCAGCCACATGAACTTCAGCACGTGTTTAAAATCCCTCTGCCTTCAAGCAGTTTAAGTGTGTAGTTAGTTACACGACACCCCATATAGGGACCACGGTGCAGGGTTTTTTTCTCTGTCAAGAGCCCCTTAGGAGCATTTTAGGATCTCCAGCCACAAACAGACCAACCATTCCCCCACTGCTGCACCTCCTCGTGGTTATTCCCACGTAGGTTACTACTGCTGTTGCCACAGATACCAGCTACAGTTGGACACAGGAATAAAGCCAGAGCAGTTGTGAACAGGAGGAGGTTGGAAGTTGGAAAGGAAGTCGCCGGAGTGTAAAGAAGTGTTTGGGAACTGCTTGTGTTAGAGCCAAGCCATCAGGAACACAAAGGAGAGGAAAAGAAGTGAGTCCAACAGGCTACACATCTCTCACTTAGGGAGAGCAGAGGTTCGGTCCCAGGTTAGGGTGACAGCTGCTGGCCTTCCTGGAGACTTTCCTCCTGTTCACCACACACAGGCAACCCCACGAGAGTTTTACAGACACAGCACACAAGAGCCCCACAGCTTTGTGCTGTCACTTGTTCGTACCACCACAGCACTGAAAAGAAGGCCAGTTCATCCCTTGCTTAAACATACAATGTTTTACTCAAACATTCCAGAGTAGGCACAGAAGGAGAACAAGAACTGCTGTATTGATTCAAGATTCAGTGCTCTTAATTCAGAAGCAGAATTTATTGTCTCCGTTTAATCTAAACTACTCTCAAAATATCAGTACTAAGTAAGGCTTTGAAAAGGAAAGTACCTGCCCATGCGTAACAAATTACTTTTTTCAAACACAGCGTAAGGAAGTTGTACCCAAGCAAAGACTCAGGACATTATTTTTTGCTGAGATGCAAAGAAGAAAGCAATGGACACACTTCTGTCAAGCCTGTGAAACACCAGCGAAGGCAAGAGAGTTCATCCTGCTATTATTTCTGGATAGGAACAGAACAGACCACAGATGGGTTGCTCACAAGCTCCAATTACAGCTTATGCTGCTGTTGTTTACCAGTATTTTACAGTGATGAACAAGTGGCTGTGTTACTTGTAAGTCGGCAAATGCTCTCTTAGGAGGCTTGCAGCTACCCTCTCATAAACTGCACTCACTCCTTTAGCTGACAAGAAAAACAGTATCTGTGCATAAACACTGCACACCTCTTTCCACAAAGAAAAGGCTGCACACCACTTTCATCTTCAACGAAACGCAATTTCATCGCTTACATGCACTCCTTTGAATTTGAGAGTATTTTTTTCCTTCAGAATAGGATTTTGACAGCACTGCAATATAAATAAATACACTGAGAGTCTATGCAGTAACTAAACATTTCAAAAAGTCAAGGGGACATTTCCTGGGAAACTGAGGCACTTCTGCAAGTCCATCTGAGTGGCTCCAAATGCTTTACGCAGCGTAACGGCAGTCTACTGCAATGGCAGCCGTGTTTCAGCGGGAGACAGCACAGGTCCTCTACAGTTGTGAATGGTTCACTTTGAGTCGTGCGGCATTTGCCTGGGAGAAGACGGTCAAGAAAGAAAAGGAGGAGGTGGAGGAGGCCAGGGTTCCCAGCTGGTCCCATGTCCATCGGCCCATTCTGGTGACCCATCTTCTCTCTCATCACTTGCCTGTCCTGTCTGCCTGATAGTGAAAAGCCTTCGGGTCAGGCCTGCCTCTTGACACAGCCTGGAGAACTGCCTGTACTGTGGGGTGCCTGCCTCACTTGACTTAACACTGCTCTACACAAATAGATCAGAACTGGTGACAACATAGAAGAATAATTCCAGAGACAAAAAAAACCCACAACACACCACGAGAACAATCATGCACCCTGAAACAAGAACACTTATTCCAGTCTACATGCTTACATGCTGCAGTTTACTGGAACATACTTCCAACTGTTACACTAAAATATAAAGGCTCCTAAAAACACAAACCTTTCAGGTTCCCCTTTCTGCTTATGGTCTTGAGCCTGAAATCTAGATTTCACCAAACAGTAACTTCCAAACCTTCAAAAAAAAGATATTTCAAGAGAAACATGAGACTTCATGTCTTCTTACTCCCCTCTAACCCCCTTATGATACATCGGTCAACGTGTTTCCACCCCGAGGGTGCTGGATCTGCAGAGGATCGCTCTAATATCGAATGACACAAAGCTACCTTCAATTACCGATCTGAAGCTCCATCCCTCCTCCCCGCACTTCTCTCTTGGCCCAGCCTCCTTTCTTTACTGCACTGTGCTTGCAAAACTAAAACACAACCATATGGCTTTTGGCAGAGCTGACTCCAAGTCCAGTAGGCATTTTGTTAGCCTTGGACATCCATCCATGGAACAGATGTGAATGCTACACTGAATTCCCAAGGAGTTTCAAGGAGTCACTGAAAAAGGGGGAAGGAGCACATCATATGGAACAGCAGAACTTCATCTGTTACAACTTAGAAGGATTGCCAAATGCAGCAAACACTTGGAAGGCACCCAACCCAGCCATTCTATTTAAAGCACACATGCCAAAAAAACATAAAAGCAGAGGTTGATGTCTTCATTTTGACAGACAGAAAACTTGTTCTCCCCATTCCCTCTTCACACCCACTATCACATATTTATTTTAAGTGTTAACACTCTTCCAGATTTGAAAGTGCAAAGAAAGGAAATGTACTGAGCACTGTACATGGGGATAGGAAGTGTGCAGGCTCCTTACAAAGGACATTCCAGATGGGCTGCAATGGAAAGAGCAAACTGGCGGCATCTGAAGGTGTGGGTAAGGTGTCAAGAATCAAAAGGTCCTGCCCCTTCCCAGCAGTATTTATAGGACAGTAAGTGACTATGGACTGAAGAAGTGGAAAGACTCATTTTAGATGAATAGTTTGGGTGCTGTGGTAGGCGTCCAGGCTTCCTACAAGGCCAAGAGGTAGACTTTCAATTGAGCAGCAGTAGAAGTAGCACTTCTGGGAGCACAGTCTTCTACCATAGGTGCAGGGCTTTGCTATATCAACGTTCTTTTGTCGTTTTTACGTTATTGTCAAAGCTGATCTCAACAGGATTAACAGCAGATGTGAACTGAACAGTAATTTCCTGTGCCTGACTTGAGAAATCTGAGAGAAATTTGCTCCTGGAACATTCAGCTTTTCCACAGGATCCCAGCACTGGCACTGCAAATCTCTAATCATTTCTGCAAATCTCGGGCTAACTTCATTTCCTAGTGCAGAAACACAATTGCATCACCTGGCAGGAAAGCAAGAGAGCTTGACATCTAACGCACATGTGTTAAAGCCATGCTCTGTCCCCCATCAGCACACCGTACAGCTTTACTACAGCCCTGGCCAAACATTCTCACCTCTCTGCACCCAGAATTTTGCACTCTGAAGGCTCCTCCGTGCAGCCTGTGGTGGTACCTGCTCTGCCTGAGCGCTGAAGCTGCTGGGATGCGGGCTGCCTGCTCAAACCACAGGTCTGTGGATACATATCAAAACACCTGCAGCAGAGAAGTTCCACGTTCTCTTTGCTTTTGCACTACAAACTGTAAAATTTTACATGAACACAGTACTTTCTACAGGGTTTTTTCCACCATTCATGCTTGTAAGGTTGGGAAGGGCTGGGCAGGCACACAGCACTACAGTCACAGCGGGCACCAGCACATTCCTCACCTTGAAATCCAAGAAGTTCTTGACTGATCCAGTACATGAAAAATATGGTTTCCGAGGGTAAAAATTCAAGAGGAATGACTGATGAACAGCAGACAAGGGAAATCAAGTAAGCAAGCAAGCAAGCAGGCTTCACTCAGACCCGTTATCTCTGAGGGAATCAGATTAAATCTCCTCTAATTAGAGGGGCGTTTAAAAGAAAGCTAATGGGTCTTTTGGGAGGTGAAGTGATGGAAAATACATAGCCCAGTTTATTTTCCATGGACCTGATTTACTGATAGCATGAACAACCACACAGTAGAGCATGTTCTCTGGGTGTCTTGGAGGAAAGAAGCAATGAGCCACCGTTGGTTTGGGCACGGAAAGGTGTTGGAAAGGCCAGCACAGAAGCTGGCTTCATCCTCATGGAAACGCTGGTTTGATGACTGAAGAAATAAAGAACTGCAGGGTCAAGCTGGATGTGGTTTCCAACATGATGACACAAAACATTTGTATGCGTGACGTAAAACAAAGATAGTGCACGGGAAAACCGAAACACACACTGAGTGTTCACATCCACTTGCAAACTAGGGGGTTTTTTGCCAAACAAAATCCAGACTGAGTTAAAAACCAACATAAACCCATTTGTCAGGTAAGGTAAGACAGACACAAACCTGATATTAAAAACCAAGCGCATGCTGTCCCAAACCTAAGAGTAATCAAGCATATGTTGTGGTAGTAATTCAATGAATCCACAAAAATAATATCCTGTATTCAGATTTGTAAACATTTCCCATAACTGCAGGGTCCCATGGGATGCAGAAGGGATGCAAAGAGAATTTCAAAGCAAAGAAGCAATCAAGTGAATAACCTACAACATTCAAATGGAGAATTTTTCATTGGACAGGGTTTCTTTTTTTAACCAAGTGAATTGTTTAGAGATGACAGCGAGTCACAAGAAAAACTCAGAGATTCTTGAAACTTCAATATACAGAAGTATTAGGACCAGATGGCAATTATAAAGATGTCTCTGGAGTAGTGCGTGAAACAAATGCATACTGTTGGACAATAGTCAACTTATTACCTTTAAAATAAAACTGTGAAATTTTGGGAATTGCCCAAAGGAATCAAGTTCTCCTTCCAAAAAACACAGGTTTCTACTTGCTTAAATATGAAAAACGTCCTTTAAATTACT